AGGCAAAGTTGCAGGAGATAAGAGCGTCTCATGCTAAAAAGGCAGAGGAAAAGATTCAACAGAAGGAAGCTATCAGCAAGGAGACTCTTCAATTACAACGCAAAGCTCAAATGGAGCGTTGGCAAGCTCGTGAAAAAGCGCATTCAAGAGGTGTTGGCTACTTTGCAGGAGAGCATTGAGAAGCAATCTAAAATGGCCGAGATAACCTTACAGCAGAAGATGGAAACCACAGCAGAAAATCGCCAGGCTCAGATCCGCTCACTCCAAGAGAGATTGCAATTCAAGTCTCGTAAGATCGAGCAAGCACGGCAGCTTGTGGATGCACTTGTGCAGGAGCAAAGCAAAATTTGCCAGGAGAAGTTGAAGCTGAAGTTGGAACAATCAGAGGAGAAACGCAATGCACGGTTCAGAGCTTTGCAGGAAAGGCTTGAGGCCCATGACAAGCACGTGGAGGAGGTGTGCCAACAGGTGAAGTCACTGAGATCAGAGAAAGCTCAGGGTTGAGAACAAAACACTGCAATGGTATTAGTAACTTGCCAATCAGAATAAATACTCCCCATTCCACGTGAATGCCATGCTGATTGATATACGGCATCCTGTATAGTTTTCTCATGGTTCATTGTATGTTATATTGTTAAAAAGTGTTATCATGGTACTTAGGTTGAAATTTGAACTTTATTCAGAGATTGAAATGATGAAAATTGATGAATATAAAATTGTTGTAAAGTTGTGTTTATGATTTAAATTTCTAAGGTTTTGAGTGGAGTGTTTAGTATTCCAAATTCCTCATTGAAATAAATTATGTTTGAAAATGGAACTTTATTCAGAGATTGAAATGATGAAAATTGATGAATATAAAACTATTGTAACGTTGTGTTTATGATTTAAATTTCTAAGGTTTTGAGTGCAATGTTTAGTATTCCAAATTCCTTATTGAAATAAATTATTTTTGGAAAAGTATGTGATGTGCTTATTTACTATAAATAAATTAGTAAAAAGGCTTGAATGGTTTTAATTTATTCTTAAAGGAGCTAATTGCTGGGTTATTTTTGTTTTGTGTTTCAGACCAAACTTGCTAACAAATGTTTTTTTAGCGGGTGCTGAGAGCTGTTTTGATGTTTTTCTTTTCCATACTTAGGCCAAAAGAATGGGACCAGTGGTTTTAACGTCCTTCCTGTAACTTTATAGATTACACAAAATATCACAGCTATAGTCAGTGTGCGAGATGCGTATTTCTAGTCAGTAGTAAAAAAAACACCAAATAAATAATTATTGGTGTTTTTTTACTACTACTACTGTTACTACTGTGTCTCGCACACTGACTATATCTGTGATATTTATTTTAAAAAAATTATTAGAGAAAGAAAAAACTTTTCTGAATCTTTTATAAAAAGTTAAAAGATGACCTCTTTTAGCCCCTCAAAACTGTGTACTTATGACTATCAGTTGAGTATAAAGTTGTAAGGAAGTTTGGTGAGAAGGTTTTCACGTTAAAACTAAATTGTTGCTATGACCAAGTCAGTTTGCTCATGGCAACAACGTAGTTTTAATGTGACAACTTTGTCACCGACTTCCCTTGCGCCTTACTCAACTGATAATCATAGTAAGCCACCTTAAGCATCCTTGATGCATCAAAGTAAAACTAGCAATGACGTGACACCTTTTCGCACTACAGTAGCTTAAAAATATAAAATTTATATCGCTTAACCCATTGCATTGCAAAAATAAAATGGTGTGTGAAATGCAGCTCTCTCCCCAAACCTGTAAAAACATGTTTTGTGGTACCACTTTAGAAATTGAAAAATGGTGCACGTGTTTACATAGCCTGATGCAAACACAAGTGACAAGTGACAAGAATTTGAATGTTTATGTAAACCCGAACCTCAGGCAAGGGTTTACAGGAGTGCTTATCAAATTCTCCCAAACTTTCTTGAGTGCTTGCATCAGGCTATGTAAACAAGAAGCGGCCGTTTTCTATTTCTTTTATAAAATAAATCTAACAAAATGCAATATGATACGTCTACTCTAAAGCCCCTTCCACACAAGTAAGTTTTCCTTGACAGGTTTTGCTTGCTCGTGTGGATACACAACAAATTTAATTTGACATGTTTTTCCTTGACAAATTTTATGTGCTCGTTTGGACGATAAACAATTTTTCTTTGTAACAACAATAATATTGTACAGCAGATTATCGTCTTTAATAGGATCCAGGTCGCGAGCAACAAGATAAGGTCGCTGGGCACCAGGGATTCCTTGTCAAGTTTTCCTTGTTGCACGTCCCACACGAACAAGTTTCGCAACTTGGCAATTTTTCCTTGACAAGTGTCCTTGTTCAAAAAACTGGCACGCTTTTTTTTGAACAAGGACACTTGTCAAGGAAAAAATTGCCAAATTTCCCTTTCCACACGAGCAAGGAAAACTTGTCAAGGAAAAACTTGCTCGTGTGGAAGGGGCTTAACTGTGTTACATAGTCTCATGCAAAACGACTGCACAACCAATCAGCACGCATGAATTTTATAAAAACGACTGGTCCCCCCCCCCCCCCCCCCCCCGCCTCGGATCATTTTATGTCTTGGAGCCCTAAACCCCTTGGGACCCAGATGGCAATCAAAATACCTTGTCTGTTTCTCAGAATACGTTTTCTGCGTTTCCAGAGGTTATTAAATCACTGTTTATGTTTTGGGGGTTTTCGAAAGTAGCGACGTTTTTTGTTTTGCCTAGTTCCCAGCCTTTCTCACTCACACTGGCTCGTTTTGACTGTTTTTGTAAGGAGGTATGCCTGTGACCGTTTTAGATCGAAAACTACAATAGTTCCTATTCTGCCTATTCATGTATTTTATATTATCGCTTTCTATTATTATTTTTTTTATTATTATGTACTATTGACGCTTCAAATATTTCTATCAGTATATATCTATATATAATAATTATGCAACCTGTCGCCAATTAACCTCTACATGACAGTGGCCAACTCGAAAGCGAAAGCTACTTTGGTTACTGTGCAAATATTCTGTAACAATTTTGATTTTATCTTCTTTTTCTTTATGTATTTTGATTGTACTGTATTTTCTCTTTTTGATAAAACAGTGTATAATAATAAAAAACTAACTAAAAAAAACTATAGACAATAAAACTCACGTTTGCAGTTTGGATAGCAAGCGATCATCGGCCTTCTGAAAATCCGTCTATGATTTTCCTCGATCACGTCACGCTCTGTCACGCATTTATTTTGTTTGAAACCGAGGCTGAAAGGCCTGGTTGCAGTAGCAAGATGGCGGGAAGTTTGTTCGTATTATTCCTGTCCGTATTTTGTATTTTTTATTTTGTAAAAAAAATATGGTCCAGCTACAGATTCGTGGTGTGGATATTGATTTTCCTTTTCCACCATACGACTGTCCAAGTTACGTATATGGAAAAGGTTATTCAGTGTTTGCAAGAGGTAAGCTAAATCATCTAATATAAAATTGTTTCAATCTTGACTGCTCCGTAAAAACTAAAATCTTAATTTAAGACGTTTCGTCTTATCCCAGAACCAGAACAATAGCGGACGTCAATCTTCAGCTATTGTTCTGGTTTCTGAGGTTAAGAGCGAAATTAAGATTTTAGTTTTTACGGAGTTGATAAAAATGTAAGGTCATGCGTAAGCTTCCTTGTTTCCGCATGAATATATGATTTACTCCTAGTCCACACGTAGAAGTTAGCCTCGTAGTTTATGCAATTTTATTTTGGCTTGTTGATGCAAATTAAACTTTCATCCTCAATAAAAGTAATGTGCGGGAGACAGGAAAGATTGCCAGCAAGTCAGTCAGAAGCTAAGAGTTTAATCTACCCAGGTATTTAAAGTATGAACTGATTCGTTACTAGAAAAAGACGATCAATCATATCCCATAGCGAATTAATAAAGTGTTGATATAGCAAAGCAACCTGTATATACCTGCCAACTCACATGCATTATGCGTGTGTCACGCGCTCCTGGATCGAAGAACATCGATCACACGCATACATGACAATTTCACACGCCTGACTCACAATTGCCGGCACTAACTTGTTCATTAACCATTAACGTGAAAAATTGGATTCAATTTCGCACCCAAAATAGTCCAATGAACGGCGCTAATGTCGCGTTTGAGATAAGCGTGATCTTGGCAAGATGGCGGCCGAGATTTTTAGCTTCGCACCGTCGACATTCGGACTAGCCTTGTAGGTCGGAATCATCGGGAACATCTTCGTAATCTTCGGCAATGTTCGGAAGTCGTTCGGAAAATCTTCGGCAATGTTCGGAATGTCATCGGAACATCTTGTCAATGTTCGGAAGTCGTCGGAAATTTTTCGAAATTCGGGTAATAGAAAATCACACGCAGTCGACTTAGGAAAAGTTGGGCAGCATACTGTATATAAAAGTGTCTTATCAACCTGTGCTTAAAGGGACACTGTCCCGGCGTATTTGCTCAAAACTGTTATAAATGCACGAATAGTCCCTTAAATCTATCAAATAAGAACTTAGTAAACTCTAACTAAATGATAAAAAGCAATTTCTTCAAGAAATTCCATACTGCCACAAAATTTTTGCAAAATTTCAAAGATTTCCGAGCCAAATTTGAAAACTTTGAAAAAGTGACATCCTGGGCGTTTTTTCAAAATCCATATTACAACCATTTCCATCCTCGGCTGTAGTTTTGGTCATCCTCACTTCTAATGGGTTCCTGTCATTTGTCGAGTGCTATTCTTACAGAATCAAACCATTATTGTTCAACTTCCTATGATCTAGATATGTTTCTGAGCTTCCAAAATCATGCTAAAATCAGGACAGTTTTCCCTTTAACTCTGGTTTCCATAGCATGAAGTGACTGGAGTATTGCTACTCCCCTGGATAGGATGCTAGTCCATCACAGGTTACCCCACTGACAGATTGCCCTGACAATTCGCCGGTACCTATTTTATACTCCTGGGTGGGGAAAGGCACTGTGAGATTTAAGTGTCTTGCCCAAGAACACAACACATGACCCCGGCCAGGGCTTGAACCAGGAACTGCTCGATTCAAAGTCCAACACGCTAACCATTAGGCCACCACAATCTCTCACAAAATGACATAGTAAGGAGAACTTATATGTTGATGATACACTGCTGAAAGAAAGGTTGCTTTAATGCTTTAATAAATTACTCCTAAATCAGTAAAAAACTATACTAGGAGGCCTAAATTTACATTGTTGCAACATAGATCCCAAATTGAAACCATTAAATATACAATAAATATTATAAGTATTTTTTGTGGCATTGACTTGTGTAAATTAATCTCTCTCAATATTCATAGGGAAAAAATGGTAATCCTTGAGAGTCCAAACTGGTACAGGGAAAACTCTTTGTTTGTTATGTGCGGACACTAGCCTGGAGAGAAACTTATGTGGCTCAACTGCAGCTTAAGCAAGAGGCTTACTACTGATCAAGGTGGTTCAAATTATGTGCAAGCGCTGGGCGAAGAATTACAACAGGCTGCTAAAGGAGACTCCAGCTGGGGCACATCAGATAATGACAAAAGGTATTTATAAACTCTACCTGTACTTCTATAATAACCATCTGACATGTATTTAAAAGCTGCACTTGGGCCCCAGAGCTTATCTCAGTTTCTGTAACATGTAGCCGACTAGGAGTATCGCTTAACTCCCCTGGATGGGATGCTAGTCGATCGCAGGTTTTTTTTTAATGTCCATAGTCCACCCACCATTTTGTCACCGGTACCCATTTATACTACTGGGTGGAGAGAGGCACAGAACACAACATAATGACCCTGGCCAGGGCTGGAACCCAGACTGCTCGATCCGGAGTTCAATGCACTAACCATTAGGTCACCTGTTCCATATAATAGACACCTAACGTGTCTAGGTTATGGTTGAAATTTGTTTTTACTTTGAAAATTCATAAACCAGTTTAAGATGGATTCCGCTCAACGTTCGAGCAATAAGTGCAAAAATTAATTACTAAAACACTACTCATAGCACGGTAACATTTTGAATACTATTTGAAACATATCACTTTAATTCGCTTCTTCCAAGTGACCCGAAATTAAATTATCAAGCATTCTCGAGAAAATTAATGTTGAACCTAGTAAAAAATGATAAAAACACACGCCATTTGATTTGAACTGACATGAAGCGTTCTTTTTAATTAAAATATGTAATGACTTCTCTCGCGGGGTCAGCTTGGGAGCTAATTTATCGATAATTTCTTCTTAACTGTATTCAAAATGTTACCGTGCTATGAGTATTTTTTTGGTAACTTAATTTTTTGCACTTTTTGCTTTGAACGTCCAGCAGAAATCGTCTTAATTTTTATTTTCCTTTGTTTCAGTTAAGACAAAGGAAAATAAAAATAAAACTGGTTCAAAATTTCAATCTACCACAAACATGATATATAATACAGACATGTAAGTTTTGGTTTCTGTATAAACCAGGTTGACTTTGTTGATCACTCTTTCTCTGTATTCTTGTTCACCTCCTTTGGCATTTTAATTGCAATTAACTGTTCACATATATATTACTAACAGTAGTTGATATTTGATTAGCCTATTTAAAGCTGACTACTATTTTCTCTTTGTGGATTGCATGCAGGATCATTCTTTGAGGCACCAAGAATTCTGTATTCCTCAAGAACACATTCCCCAACTGTCACAAGCAGTGCAGGAACTTAAAAATACAATATACAGGTAAGCCTTTTTGGAGCCCAACAGGGCGACAGTTTCCATCACAGGTTATTAATACTATTAATAATATTTTGGTTAGAAAAGGGGGAAATTTTTAAGGGTCTGTCAGTCTGAAATTGGTGAACCTAGGAAGAAATGCTTTGGCTAATTAATTTGAAGAATTTCACCATTAACAAGGATGCTGCTTTTATCACCGTCACTGTCAGTAGTACATGGTTTATGGTTCTTACTTTTTTAAAGGCCTAAAGTCAGCATCATTGGCTCTCGTGAACAACTGTGGTATCAACAATGAAGTACTAAAGCAGGACACTAACTCAGCTAAGGTGAGAAAAGAGATCCTTTGATCCCAACTGTCAGCTTACATGAATTTGTAATCATTTATTATTGTAATTAATTTAATACACGGCTCGATGGAAGAGCATGTATTGTGAATTGACACCGTGTTTAAATAAAGTTTTACTACTACTGTAGTGCACATGTCTTTATGGGAAACAGAATAATTTTATAATCTGACAAGAGCGGATCTGGAGCAAGATTAATTACGGGGCGCATGGGGCATTCCGTAATTAATCTCACTCCAGATCCCCTTGGCTAAAATTGTCTTATAAATATTTTTCTGTTTTCTAACTGGATATAAAATAGCGACTGGGTACAAATCTGTGTAAGAGTGGAGAGTTTTCTGTGTAGGCTGTCAAACCTTAGCCGTCGGAGCAAAACAACTGGCAATCCATCTGCATTCACAGGCTACCAAAACCATTATGTTATTGGACAGGTGTATGTGATTAGTGAGGGGGGGGGGGGGGGGGGGGTCTGAATTTCCCGCTTCCTGTACCTTGTACTCCCGGTCCCCTCCCCTTCTGTTGTGCCTATTGAAAAATATTGTTGCAAATTTTTTTCCTTTATCTCCTGATTCCTGCCACCTTGAAAAACCGCTTTCCACCATCTCTTCTCCCATCTCCTGTAGACTTTCCGCCCCCCTTTAATCCTGGGCTCCTGCCCCCTGTCCCCCCCCTCACTGATTAGTGTTTTCAATTGACTTGGTTTAATAAGCAAAATGGTTTATGAAATATTGTTAAACATAGCCACTTACTTGAATTTTGAATTTGGTCATTTTGTTGGTTGATTGTCTCAAAAAAAAAAAAAGAATAATTTTTTTTATAATTTAAATTAAAAACATCAGCACCAAATAATAATCACAATGTAAAATCATGATAGCAATATGAGATGTGTGTTCTGTTGTTACTGATAACAGGTTCATATGTGCAGAGCAAAAGTTCAGGCTAGAACATGCCATTTTTACAACAACCTGGAAGGTAACAGTTTTACACTATACTATTCTTACTGTCGAAATAACTATAAAGCTAACAGACTATGTTTTGGCATATAATGTTAGCAAGCTTGTAACCTCCCAGACTTATTAGGGCCAGCATGAATGTAGGTGCCTGCAACAGTATAGTAGAATTGATTAATATCAAAAATGTTCATGCGATGGATGGTCTCCCTTGTGGAAACTAGCCGTGGTCTATTGAGAATCAATAAATTTGGGCCTATGATGCCATTGTCTTGGCTATTAAACCCTGGGGGGAGGGGGGGGGGGGGGGGGGGGACTCCAATGTGAAAGTGGTAGGGATACTCGTCATCTCTTTTAGGTGTGTAAATTATGAGATTTTGGTATCACTTGGGGTGTTCAGTACAGAATGCCAATATTTTTAGCCATCGGACATATTGTTTTAGGGTTTCACGTGAAGAAATAAAAAATGCCATGATCACACTGTGTTGGTGGTTAACACAGATCAGGCATGATAATAGTTTTTAAAAATTTCTTCACAACCATCAATGACAACATCTTACTATAGCTAAGACTTATTTGGTTCTGTCCCCTGTTTTAAAATGGTATCTTTTTAGGGATCAAATAAAACTTCAGCCATACCCAGATTGGTCCTCCTTTAGGGGTTTAATTCCCAAAAAATTTTTTTCGACAAGCATCCACGCCCCTTTCACATGGGAGTCCCACCCTGGTATTTACATAATTTTGCCAACAGTCAATGCAACGCATGCGCATGTTGTCATCCTGATCACATTCAGAGACTAACAGAAGAGGCATTTTTTAAGTGAAAACTTTCCTTGTTATACCACTGAAAAAAATTGTATTTTCTGACTTGAATGGAACAGAGGTACTCTCTCAGACTTCTTGCTCATGTTTTTCAATGAGTAATATTTCAACTTGCTCCCTCATCGATTATCGGCTCATTACAAACTTGGGCTTTTTTGTTACTAATAATAATGCACTCATTTTGAGGACAGGTATTTATCATTTCAAAACAGCTAACAAGGCGAACAAAGATTTTACACTCAAGGGTATCCTGGACAGTCGAAGATCTGGTGGGACTTGGACAAAAGCCACAGGTGAATTATGAATGGGTTTAAACAACAGTGAGGACATTTACTGCTGCAACTCTGGATAATTAAAACATGAACTCAACCACATAAACTTGTCAACTTTCACATAACAGTAAAAGGTAAAGGTGCACAGCACTAGGTCCAAACTACCTGGCCGCGAAGAAATGAAATCTTCTTCCTTGTCTTTATTTAAAAAGAAAATGATAACACACACTTAATCAAAGATTACTAGCTTTCTGTACATCGCTCCTCTTGGATAAAAATGCTGTTTTGCAACACAATAATTTATTATTCTTATCTATTATTTTATTATATTAGTCTACTGGTAGTTAGCGGTAACTCTGTTTTATTCCTATTTTTGCGTGTGCGCGTGTGTGTCTTTGTTTGTTTGTGTGCCCGACCTTAACATGTAAATTATTATTTATATTAACTGGCTGCCTGGCATTTTTAACTTCAAGGTTATTTTGGGTAGCCAGTACCCCTATTATTTTTTTCTGTCCAATTATTGTAAATACTTTTAGTAACTTGTGGGGTAAAATAAAGTTTGTTGTTGTTGTTGTTGTTGTTGTTGTTGTGTTGTTGTTTGGCCCATACTGCAGGAAATTATCCTGGTTTCAGTAGCATGAAGCCGACTAGAAGTATCCCTACTTCCACTGGATGGGATGCTAGCTAGTCCCATCACAAGTTACCCCCACCCAGTATCTTGTCGCCCACTACCCATTTATACTCCTGGGTGGAGAGAGACACTGTGAGAGTAAAGTGTCTCGCCCAAGAACACAACAACAGTGATCCCAGCCAGCCAATTCTTTTAGCAAGAGTTTGACTGATAATTTAATGTCTGGTTAATAATTGATGATATTTTTAACTATATTCTGTTTTTCTTCAGGGCATGCCCTTATTATATGGCTAGAGAATTAAAGACTAGTGCAGACATTATATTCATGCCTTACAATTATCTGCTGGACCTCAAAGTAAGTT